GCTGCTGGAGACCGACTGTCTCCCCTTTTGTTGCACAGCTCTGCTGCCGGAGGGGGAGACCGACTGTCTCCCCTTTGGATACTCTAAGCTGTCGCTGGGGGGAGGGGGTAACAGGCTCCTCTCCCGATAGAACACTCTGCCGCTGGGGAAAGGAGACTGAGCTCTCTATTCCCTGCCCATTAATGATCCGCTGCTGGGGAGAGGTGGTAGCAAGCTCCTCTCCCATACATACTTTCATCCTCTGTGGAGGGAGACCGACTGTCTCTGCTCCCAATACAGTGTCCTGCTGCTGGGGGAAGGAGACTGGGCTCTCTATTCCCGGTAGGACACTCTGCCGCTGGGGAATGGAGACTGGGCTCCCAATTCCCTGCTGTATCTCCCGCTGGGGAATGGAGACTGGGCTCCCAATTCCCGGCACATCACACTGCCGCTGGGGAATGGAGACTGGGCTCCCAATTCCCCAAAAATCACGCTGCCGCTGGGGAGGGAGGACACTGCTCTCCTCTCCCTGGACTTCACACTGCCTTCCCGGCATATCACTCGGCTGCTGGGGGGCAGGAACAACTACCTCTGCCCCCTGTAGCTCAGCCTGTCGCTGGGGAGGGAGGACACTGCTCTCCTCTCCCTGCACTTCACACTGCCTTCCTGGCATATCACTCTGCTGCTGGGGGGCAGGAACAACTACCTCTGCCCCCTGTAACTCAGCCTGCCGCTGGGGAGGGAGGACGCTGCTCTCCTCTCCCTGCACTTTACACTGCAGCTGGGGAATGGAGACTGGGCTCCCAATTCCCGGCATATCACACTGCCGCTGGGGAATGGAGACTGGGCTCCCAATTCCCTGCATATCACACTGCCGCTGGGGAATGGAGACTGGGCTCCCAATTCCCTGCATATCACACTGCCGCTGGGGAATGGAGCTTGGGCTCCCAATTCCCTGCAATATCTCCCGCTGGGTAATGGAGCTCGGGCTCCCAATTCCCTGCAGTACCGGTGGAGAGACCTCGGTCCCCTCTCCACCTGCCGCCTGGGGTTCCTCCCAGTAAATTTCAACAATATCTTCCCAGCTGAATGGGTCTGAGACTGGATCTGTCACTCTGCTGTCCTGCGGAGCCTTCCTAATGGAGTGGAAGAGATCTCGGTAGTCCTGCTCCAGTTCCCACTCCAGGGTTGCTAGGTGAGCCAGGTCTTGCTCTACCTCATGGGGGTCATCCCAGTCACGCCTAGCCTCCCTCTCGTAGAAAATTTCCTGAAGTCTGTTCTGCGCAGGGCTCCCGAAGTCAGGCTCTGCAAAGGACTCCCATAACAAGCCAGGACCATCAAACTCCTCTCCCCCTGGCTTGTCATGCTCAGCTGTCCAGGGTATATACTGTGCCATATACCACCAGAGCGCCTGGTAGGCATCCTCCAGCCATAGCTCCTGCCATACCCGATGCTCTAGTTCCTTCACCCATTCCTCCAGGGGCTGCTCTCCCAGGAAGGGCATCCGCAGGGCCACTTGCTTCTGCAACCGCTGCTCTTCACTGGGGAGACTCTCACCCGCTGGTATTGTACATTATCCAGGGCCTGGTACCAGATGCCTTTCCTTAATGCATCCCGGCCATCCAGGTCCTCCTCCTTGTATAACACTGCTGGTTCCATTCTGTTGCTTTTATGGTCGCTGTACTGGGACATGCATTGCCCCCACTTGTAAATCCAAAGAAATGGTGTCTCCTGTAGCTGTCCTGTTGTCTGTGGGAACGATCCCGCCGCTTGCCACCAATTGTAACGGACCGTTTTGCACACAAGGGGTAAAACCGTTTAGGCGATCGGCCCCCTTTCCAGAGATCCAGGCACAGCTACTGCAGAACACCAAAACTCACGAACTGGATACAAAATAGCACTCCAACTCCCGAACTGGAACCTCCCAAATAGCTGCTAGCAGACGAACAGGAAAAGCAGACGAACAGCTTACACTCCTGGCAATCAGTCTCTAACAGCATACAGTGAATCCCCCAAGAACGAGACAAGGCTCCGTGTTGAGGGTCAAGCAGTGGTCTGAGGTGCTGGCACACCCAGCCTGGTTTTTATTACAGTCTTGCAAATACAGGACCGCCCACAGGGAGGTATAAAACAACCAATCACATCACAGTTACATCCCACATATTCCCTCCCCTTATCCTGAGAGGAAACTCTATTACATATACAGTTAAAACATACTTTCTACCCAACTTTCATAACTCTAAAACCATACATCACATTCACATAAAATTACATATTCACAATCAATCCATTCAGGGGAACAACATATTAAAAAATGGCACGAATCAGACCAGGGGTTCAAAAGTTAAGGGAAAGTCCTTTGTGACTAAATGAAGCATGGCTTTCTGGCCCAAACTAGGTTTCAGAGTCTTCTATCCTGGAGATAAGTAATTCAATTATCTCCCAGGACAGACACAAGACTCCATTAAGCACATGGTTGCAAAAAGACACAAAACACTTTAAAATACATAAAGTCACCTTTTATACATAAAACACAGACATGTAACATATCCCCAGATAGCTCAGGTCTGAGCGCACATTATTAAGCCAATGGCGCTCAGACCACACGAATACAGTTTAATCGCCATGGAGCCAAAGTCTTTACAGTCAGTTTCATACAAATGGGCTCCATGGGATTCCTATCTGGGGTATAACACATTCAAACAAATCTACCGAACCTCAGGCAGAAAAGCATGAATTAAACTTTTCTGCAGGTAAAAAAGATGTCTTTTAACAGGGGGCCATAGTCCAAAGGCAGCAGGCGAGTAACCAGGCTTCTCCAATGCAATGTGGCGAGATTGGTCTCGTCACAATTACAAATGGTCTTTTTTCATCCTGGTGTAATAAGACAAATCAGGAAGAATAATGATATTATTGTACAGTTCCTTGAGTCTAATAGATCTTGCGGCTTTCAAAACGTGTTCTTTTATTTTATATGATGGGCAACAGATGAGGACATCCCTTGGCAGGTTTTCAGGGACAGTGGATGTTTCATTACTCTATGACAGTGTTCCAGAACATTTAAAGGATTTGTTGGATGGATATCTAGTTGTAGAAATTAATCTAGAATAAATGTAATCAATTTATCATTTGCTACTGTTTCTGGAATTCCCCTGAATCTTAGATTATGTCGGGATCTGTCCTCTAGATCAGCTAATTTGAATTCTAAATTCACCGTTTTCTTTTTTATACTTTCGTGTGAATTTTCTAGTTGGGCTTGTTGGTACTCCAGGGAGTCTGTTTTTTCCTCATTCATCTTTATTTTTTTCTTCAATGACAAGAGTTCCATTCTGAACTCTGTAAAACCCATTTTAATTTCATTTTTTTAAATTTTCTCTTATTGACATTCACAACAGGCATCTGGGTATTCGTGTAGATCATCCTGAATGATTCACTCGGACAACTGTTTAGTAGATGTAATTTTTGGAGTAGTTGTTGTTGGTCCTTATGCTATAGATTTCAAAGTGTCCAGTTCTTTCTGCTTATCTGTTTCTTGTCTCTGTAAATAAGACAGAGTGAAGAAAGATAGCTTTTTTACTGTTTTGTTCTCATGTCTCTTTTCTTTTTCTTTTTTTGAGGCTTGCTTGTTTTTTGTGGATTATTTGAGGCCATAGTAAATGAAGCAGGGCAGAGGGCCCTTAAATAATGTATTTAACAAAAGAAACACCCTTTTCCTTTGCTTATATCTTTACTTGTTTCTTTCTTTCTCCTTCCTTCTTCTCATTCTATTGTATCCCTGCTTCTTTTTTTTTTTTTATCCTTCTCCTTCATTCATATTTAGATCACAGTAAATAGTAAGTTTTTTAGAAAGTTAGGTATGTATTATTCAGGCTCAGTCTGAGGTTCTTATGTCTTAATAATAGATTTGAGCACTCAGCAGGCTTTAGTTATATGTTACATATTCAGTTGTATATAGTGTATACTTAAATTTATCACACTGGCACCATAAAGTGATTTAGCAACAAAAAGGAGAGAGAAAAAAAAATCTCACTTATCTTGAGTGAGTAATCAGAGA